TAATCATCTAATAATATCTAAGTACTTCAAAAAACTAGGCTATACAAAAGATCAATTAGATTTAGTATATCGAAAAGCTATATAATTACATGAAAAAATTAATTTTATAACTCTTATCATTATGTATTCTATAAAATAATTATAAGTTATTTAATAATTTATTGGCTTTTTTTATTTGTTTTAAGAAATCAATATTCTCAGTTTGAATTGCTTTATCAATATTTTTTGTTTGTACTCCAATATCCATACTATGAATATATATACCTTTAGAACTTTGTAGCTTTTGTCTATTATATCTTTCAATTTCACGTTTTAAAAATGATTCAATTTCAGAATTTATATAACTAGCTTCTATATTTGTTAACTTGATTCTTTTTCTAGTTATAAGACGTTTCCATGCATCATTTATTAATGATTGTGGTAATTGATTAAGTAGATAGGTATAATCTTTATGAAAACTAGGTATTTCTGCATACAGATCAATAATCTCTTCAATATCAGTTATTTTAGTAATAAATTTATTTAATACAGAATATGTTTAAATCTATATATATAAGGCCTTGCATATTTATTTTTATAAAAAAAATTGATAATATTATAACTGAATACTAATTCCATTTTGATAATAATGAAAGATTAAAATTATATTGAAAAGTGGTATATCTTTAAAGGGTGGAAGTATGGATGTAAAATTTGTGATAAATGCAATCACCATTCATATCTATATTGTCAAGTATGCAAAAAAATAGCAGTTAGCATATATAAGCAATGTGAATGTAGACCCGAAGGGCCATTGCTTCTCAATAATATTAATTTTGAGAATTAAAAAAGCATCTAACCATTTTGATAACAGTTACCGACTTTATATTAATAATTAAAGAGTCATAGATATATGGAATACACTTTCATTTTGATACTTCTTTGAGAGCTTAACGCTTAAAGCTCTTTGTTCAGCCAACTTTAGAGATATTCTATTTGATATAAAATTTTTATATGCTTGTATATGCCAATGCCAATATGGAAAACTAGTTATTTTATTAGATAATATCCAACGCTTAGTATCTATAGAGCAAAGAGCCTTCTTTTCTGATTCAACTAAAGATAATATATGGTCTTTTGATCGGATACCTACATTCTTAGCATGGAATACTTCATTACCAAAGAGACAGTTTCGATAAACTAGAGTCATAGGATCTGCCTTAGTTCGCATAGCCAAATCATTAGCTTCTTGCTCTGTTAATAATGATCTGTCTACTGGATCATCTAGCAAGAACCCTTCTAAAGCTAGCATATAAGAGTTCATAGCCATTTCACTCATACCCTTTTTGCTAACTCCTTTATGTTTAGATGTTGTAGACTTATTT